TGCTGTTGATGGAGATGAAGCAGTTGGGCGAAAAACCCTAGAAAATTATAGAATTAGGAACACTGTTGGTGTGATTCCAACCGTCCCTTCTAGAAGCTCTTTTCTGGTTTATTACAATGATAAAATAGTAAATTACGTAATACTATACTCAATGTTTTTATTTATTTTAATGAAATTATTTTATGTTAAATTAAGATATTTGACCTCAAAACTTGCATAAATAGTAAAATTGCGCTTTTATTTTTTTTTACCATAATATTTTATTAAAAATTCATATTAATAAGTACATTTACTGGTATCCATAATTAACAATAAAAAGCTTTACAGAAAACATAATACTCATATACTTATTTTATATTTTATTAATACCTAAATTAATATTAATTTTTTTTATCGGATAAATAATATTAATTTTATTCATATATAAATGCAACATTTTAATATAATATTATTACTTTAACACCAAAATACATAAAATTAAAAACACGAAGGTTCATCCGGGCTTTAACCAATGCGCACTCTCGGGTAGCGGCTGCAAATTTTCACATCATTAAAAAACAAAAACAAAAAAAAAAAAAGAAAAAAAAAAAGCACACTAAGCAGAATGCACCGATACTAATCAATTTTTTTAAAAATATTAAATTAAATATTTATTTATCATGTAATATATTATAAAAATATTTTAAAATATTTTAATTTAAATAATATATAATATAATATAAATAAATATTGACATGATATTATAAATTTAAAATTAATTTTTTTTAATACGAAGAAGAAGTACTTAGGCCCTACATTGTTGACTTACAATGATAAAAGGTTTGCGAAATAAATATAAAAATAAATATTTAATTTAATATTTTTTTTAAGTAAAAAAAAATAAAATTAATAAATAATAAAAATCTCTCAAAGAATACACTTCTTAAATCTTAGATCCAAACCTAAACATTCTATTTGGCCCAAATCCAATCTAGTTAACCCATTATTATCTTGTCTTACATTTCCGTACAAAGAATCGTATTAGGCCCGGCCCATTGTATCAAACAAGAATTCTAACAATAAGGCCCAATAATATCAGTAAGCTTTTTAACATATAAAGCCCAATAGGCCCATATAACAAGAATTTCACAAGGATTACAATAAAAAAAAAAGTTTTTGTATGCTTCCTAAAAATTGATATCTTTCTATTTTTGGTAAAAGTTATTAAACAAAATATATTTAACAAATACTCACTCCGGGTAGTTAAAAGTAGTGTAATGACATTTTTGCCCTTGTTTTTTGGTGTAAAAGTAATGATGTGATGTAAATTAGGGATATTTGTGGAAAAAAGTAAGGTATTTAATGAAATATTTACTTTGTAATTGGACGTTCCAAAATAGAAACATGTATACTTTCTAGCTTGACGGAAGAAGTATAAATCAACTTAATTAACAACATAACATACAAAATGACGTATGACCCACTCAAAACCCCTTTATTTATATCTCTTTCCTCAAAAAAATAAATATTTTTATCAATATTTAATACTACACATCTTTTATAAAATTAATTTATGTTAATTATAAATAAAAAAAATATTTTTTTATTTACTTGTATTATGTATATATTTTTTAATTGCTATATAAATTTTAAATATTTAAACATATATTTTGATTTTTTTAATCATATATACTCCTTCAGTTCCGCTGCAAGGTTGTCATTGGCTTTTTTTTTATGTTGATTTTTTAATATTAATTATTATATCGTAGTACAAATTAAGAAAAAAAACAATAATATATTTATTAGTCTCTTATAATACCAATAAAATGGTATTTTTAGACTAAATTATTCAAATATAAGGATATTTTTAATGTCAAGTATAATAATGCAAAAACCAAATGGCAACCTTATTGCAGGACGGAAGGAATATTAAATTTACTTTAAAAATATAAATATTATTAATTATAAAAAAATAATATATAACTAATTATTATTAACTAATTAAACCATATTCACTTTAAATACCATGTCCATAATCAAATGGTTCTAACTCCGGTAAAATTGAGAGAGTATATTTGTTTTGATGTGACAATATTATTTATTACTATTAATTAAAAGTGAATGACATATGTTGCTTGTGTAGAGACCTGTAAATGACCAAACAAGAATTATAAAAATAACTACAAAAAATTAAAAACAGGTAAAAATGGTTGCACCTAAGCAGATGACAAGAAAGATCAGTCATTGTCCCTTGTTTGGATGCATCCAAATGTCCCCCAAATCCCCAATTCATTTCCTCTTTTTATTTTATTATCATTTCCGGCAATAAAATTTTATACTTTCACCTAACTTTTTAATTTTAAATTTTGGTCATTTGTCATTGACATTCAAATATAATAATTTCAAATAAAAACAATAATAAAAATCAAATCAAACGCAAGTCAGCAATTGAAAACACACAGTGTGTTGGTGAGCAACCGTTGAAATTCAAATTGGAAGGTTATGTTTGGGGGGATGACATTTTAAAATTTTTTATTTATTTATTCATTTTTAAATCTATGAAAGTAACGTCCAAACAGGCCTAACCTCGGCAGGTGTCAAAATATTACACAGTAATCGAAGTTTTTTAGAAAACTTAAAAAATAAAATAATAATAATAATAATAATATTATTATTATATTGAAATATGTTTGTAATAATAAAGTGGGAAAGTGAAGAAGACGAAGGGGTTGTCTGCCCCCATAAGCAAAGGCACATGGCGTGGCCTTCAAAGAATATGATGTATGTATAATTTTCTTCCATATTCCAAATTCCCATCACACTCAACAAATCAAAAACCACCTAAAAGATCTAAAGGGTAAAAATTAAAATTTAAAAATTAAAAAAAAAAAGAAAAAAGAAAAGAAAAAGAACATACTACACACAGTAGAGATTCATCAAAAGAACGATTGTTAGCATACTTAATAATAATACTCCCTCAAACCCGTAATAATCTATCCATTTTTTTTATTTTGGTTCATCCCATAACAAAATATTTATTTTATTTTTTTTAATATTTGTACTATCTAACTAACATTACAAATACTTTTTTTATTTACAATATATTACACAAATGTCATTACTTTTATATTATACAATACTAATATGATTAATTTAGTCTTTTTACCTTTATTTTTATTTTATCTTAATATAATACTAATATTTTTAAAACTCCGTGCAAAAAGTAAATAAATATATATAGATATAGAGCGGAGGAAATAGTATGAAAACTTTCATGGTGTGTTTGTTCTGTATTTTGATTTAAAGAAGTTTTTTTTTTTTTTTATATGTAAAATGAAAAAAATTATATAAATAATATAAAAATAATAAGTATGTATAATATTTAATATTTTAGAAAAAACATATTAAAAAATTTTCAAAAACAAATACAACCTCAGTCTTGAATGCCCACATATAGTCATTGATTTTAACACAAAAAAAGTAGTACTATTAGGGTGTGTTTGTTTGGGAAATTTTCCCCAAAATATATTATTCATCCAATTTTTTTCCCATAAAAAATATCAACTTAAATACTTTTTTTTTTATATTATATTAAAAATTAATTTTACATTCAAAACATCGCATCAACACCTATTTATATCACATCATACAACTATTCAAATTCAAGAATTTTATTATTCAAATCTCAACTTAAAATCCAAACCCCCAAACAAACACACCCTTAATAAATCTATTAACAAATTATCTACCGTACCCTTTGTCCCTTGACAATAAAGTATACATTTTTTTTAATAATTATAGTATTATTTATTTTAACATTATAAATATCTTTTAAATTTACAATATATTACACAAATATCATTAATTTTATATTATACATTATTAACAAAAATAATTTAATTTTTTTCTACTATATTCAAATATAATACAATATTCTTAAAACTCCGTACAAATGAATATATAGATACGACATTGTACCGCACTATCATAATCCCATGTAGGAATACACTTATCATTAATATGGTATAATATAAAAGTAATGGCATTTGTGTAGCACATTATAAGTTGAAATGGTATTTATTATGTGAAGTGGGTAATACAATTAATAAATTAGGAAATAGTAACCTTATTTTTAAACGAACGAAAATAAAAAATAGAAACCTTTCAATGGGATGGAGGGAGTATATTAATATAAACTCCCCACAATAACAACAGTACTCCCACCGTCTATCTTTAACGGTCTCATTTACCTTTTAAGTCATTATATTTAACATTAAAAATATTTTTATATTTGTATACATTTTTGTATAAATATGATTATATTAATATTATAAAATACTAATAAAAATATTTTTTAATTTTTTCTTAATTTGTACTACATTTTAATTAATCAAAAAGAATTTTATATTTGTAAAAAAAAATTGTATAAATATCAATATATTAGTATTATAAAATACTAATAAAAATATTTTTTATTTTTTATATTTTTATTTTACACTACATTTTAATTAATCAAAAAGTAAATAAAAACATTAGAGTAAGTAAATAAAAACATTAGAGCCGGACACAAGCGGCGGCGGCAGATTATTACATCATTTCCATAAATAATCATTTTACAATTGTCATTACTTTCTATACCAAAACAAAAAAAATTATCTATCCTTACTTTTTACCGACTACAAAATATAATATCAATATAATTTAAATATCAGGGAATGAGAATAAATAAATAAAATATTGATTTACTCAACTCAACCATGGCAACAAAAGATAAGTATTTGCGAGACAAGCATAAAGCAACCAAGAAAATAGCACCAATCTGAACCCCTCCCTCACACACACAACAATCCTGCAATCACCACTGCTCATCAACAACAATTCAGGCAAGTTGTAAATTACAAGTTACAAGGAAGAGACAGCAGACACAATGGTGAAAAGCCAGAGTGCACTATTATGCCCAAAGCATGTGCAACAATGTGCTATCCCATGAAAAAAATCAAAATCTCAATCATTTATATAAATATCACAAATTAAAATATATATATTTATTTTTTAAATATTATTTCCTAAAAACAAACCCAAGCCGACATTCACTAATAACCAGAAAAGAAGAAATAGCCCACTGGGGTTACAACCAAAACCACACCCCAAAACAGCTAATTCTCCCAAATATTTAAACAAAATATCACGTAATAATCCATTTCTAAACAAAATAACAAAAACCCACATTTATTTAATCATAATCTTAATAATAATAATAATAATCACTGCCTGTCAAACCTGCTTACACTTTCTTGTTCCTGCAGCCAAATGAAATCATTCCCCTTCCATGAAAGATTTTCTTGAAGAAGAAGAAGAAGAAGAATCCAGCCCAGGCCACCATTTTTATTTACCTTCCATGGCTAAATTTTGCTACTGCTAACTGCCTTCTATTGCTACCACTAATCACCACTGTTAACAAAATATCACTGAATACTACTGAATAAATGCTATCGCCCCTTTTCTGTAAATAAAACTTCACCACTTCCAAATTATGCTTTTTCTAGAACTAATCTTGCTGTAATAATAATAATATCTTAATTTTAGAACCGGGTTGTTTTCATTCGGATCGGGTCAGTAGGTCCATTCCTGAGGAAGCCTGAATTCTTGGTGCATCACTCTCTGCGGCGGTATGAAGCTTCTTTGTTCAGCCATGGCTGCTGCTGTCTTCACTTGATTGATCTTCTGAGAAACACTTGCTGCAAGAATTTCTTGAATTGTTAGAACACTGATTGTTAGAAAGTTTGTAAAATTAAGGTAGGGGATGAGAGATTGTACCGTAATCAGATGGGAGATTTCCGAAGGTGGTTCTAATGTGAGATTGGGGTTTCTCAATCGATTCGATGTTTAAATTCAGGGCTTGGACCACTCTGTCGGGGAGCAAGGCTGTCGTCGAACATCCTGCAGGTTGAAGTTACATGAATTTCGAGAAATAGACAAACAAGATTAACTGAAAAGGAATTAAGGACAGCAGTAATGGCGAAGGAGAGAGATGGAGCGATCCAAGAAAACGACTACTGGACAATAAACTCGCATGAGACTGGCAGAAACAACAAATTTCTTGCAATTAAAGCAGATCAATGGCGGATTAGTTAAAATTTAAATTTACCTGGTTTCTTGCGGGGCTCTGGAGCATTGGATCCGTTCGTAAACCTTCTTGGTAAGAACACACCAGTTCCTGTTCGTTCCTTCTTCGCCCCGCCAGCTCCGCCTAGGAAATATGCTCTCATCCCTGAACCGGATTGATGCAGCTGCTGCTGTCGAGATTGTTGCAGAGTAGGCCAAGCGGCCATGGATAAAGCTTGAGATCTTTGAGAAGCTACAGTCCGCCCGCTCAGAAACTGTGAATCGATTTTGCTCTGTCCCCAAACCGCTCCGTTCATCATTTGCTGCTCCATCCGCTGAAACTGTGGGGGAAAAAATAGAAACAGGATTTTGAATGACGAGCAAAATTGAGAAACAAAAATCTGAGATAAGATCATGTAGCAACTAACTTGAGATGCTTGCAATTGAAGGTAAGCGAGGTGTTGAGCTTGGGCGTGAGTTTGATTCAGGTAAACGGCGGCGTTAGCGTTGAGTTTTCCGGCGAGAATGGTGCTTGGGTTTGGATTTGGGGGAGATGCGAAACGCCTCGTTGAGTGAAACGGCGTCGTATTATCTTCAATCAGTTGCATCCTCGAAACCTCCCCCGCGGCGGCGCAAAGTATCTCCCAACCGGCGTCCTTGGCCGCCGCCGCCGCCGGCGGCGACGAAACCCTAGAAACGCTCTCAGGACTTCCCCCGCTCGAAGCCTGCTTGTAACCGTACAGAGTCGACTGCGGCGAGGTGGAGAGCTTCTGATTCTACAAATCGGAGAAATTTTCCGATCAACCACGCCATAACCAAATCGGAAGGAAGAAACACCAAAGCAGATGGAGTTCGGAAATCAGAAAAATACCTTCACAGTGTAGTACGAGAAATTGAAATCCTGCAGAGTCGAGTTAGCCATTTTCCGAGATAACGCAGTGATGTACTCATCTTCGTCGCTCTCCGTTTCCGTGGAGCCATTAACGGACTCAACCGGCGAGCTCAGATCCGAGTTGAAGTAGCAATAGTTCGCAACCCCCTGCGATGAGTCGTCGCCTCTCTTCGCTCTCAAATGAACAGGTTTGAAGTCCATCAACAAGTCGTCATCCGTCAGAAAATCCGACGGCAGCCAGAACTCTCCATCGTCAAGCTCTTGCGCCATTAGAGAGAAAACAAACACAGCAAACAACCGCACTGCAACAAATCAAAAAACGGTGTATATATATTCAAAAGAAACGGCAACGATTACGGCGAGTTGCTGCTTCTTCAAGCCTCAATTATAGCTTCCACCACAGCACGAAAAATGGTGGGAAAGGAAAATCTCCAGGGCCCCAGAGATATAAAAACACCATCCACGGAGCGCGGAAAATAGAGGAGAAAAAAGAGCGTCGCAGCAGCGTAGAAAGAGAATGGAGGCAGTCGATTTGAAGTAGTTTTTATAAGGTCACTGCCATGGCGGATTGTGGGGTAGTGGAAACCCTAGCAGGAACCACACTCGCCGAAAAGGTGAGTGGACTACACGCGGCGGCAGAAAAAGTCTAAAAACAGTTGGAAAGAGTTGGCGCCAGGTAAGACGGGGGTGGTGGGGTAGGGGTGGGGGGTAGTGGGTGGGTCCCGCGTCTGACACCCCTCACTCGGTTCGCATGTGACCCTAAAAATATTTCTGGATTTTTTAGAATAATATAATTAATAATTAGTGTTATGTATAGTAGTAGGAGTAATTTTTTTAAAAATAAATTTTTAATTTTTAATTAATTTTGAAGGGAAAAAAATTAAATAGAAAAGGAAGGGTAATAGAGGTGGCGACGTGTAGGCGCCTATCGTAAATAGTGGTACACGAAGGAACGGACATTTGTCGTGCCTCATCCCACGTGGCAGTAATTCTTCGTAAGTAAGCAATTACATTCTTCACTTTGTTTTCTTTTATTTTTAGTTTATTAAATAATCTTGTATTGTATAGTAGAATTTGTTTTAATCCGTTTATTATCGCATCGCATCCGTATTAATCGTATATATAATTAATTTAAATTAAATTATTCTTTATCTTGTTATTTAATTTTTATTGGTTAAGTTTAATATACAAAATAAATTAAATTAAATTATTTAAAATTTAATTTAATTTAAATTAATATATGATAAAATTATTAAATAATTATTATTTTAAATATATAATCAATATTAATATATTATAATCGGATTGTTATACTGTATTTGAATTGAAAGTCTCAATTCTAACCTAATATGTTTATTATCGTATCAGGTTTGTGTTAATCCGTATATATAATCGGATTGAAATTTTTTATCAAAACTCAATTATTTCGGGTTCAAGTTGAAAATCTCGATCCTAATTCAATCGGTTTATTATCGGGTAAAATTTGTGTCAGTTCATATACATAATTGGTTTTAAATATTTGACTTAAATCCAATTATTTTATATCTGACAATTTTTGCCAGCAGTACGAATTAGAGAACGTTCTAGTGTGATTTATCTTAAACTATATTTGAAAACTATTAGATTTAGTCAATAATTTATTCTAAAGCACTCGAAAAATAGTACTTTGAATTCTCACATCATGCAAAAAATATATATTTCCCCGTCCAACTTAAATTGTCATATTTAGTTTAGATACAAAATTTAATTTTAGGTATGAGATAATTAGTAAGTAATTAAAAGATATATTAGTAAAAGTAAATATAATTTAATAAAAATAATTATAATTAAAATTAATATGACTAAATAATTTAATTATAATAAAAAAATTATAAACTATGAACTTTAAAATGTGATTATAATTTATAATTATTTTTATAAAAATAAATAAACAAATTATGTAGAACGAACAAAATAGTTGATAAATTAAAAAAATATATAATTATATTTTAAAAAAAAAGAAAAATTATATAGAACAAGGAAAAATAGTTGAATGTAAAATAAATTTATAATATAATATAAAAAATAATAATTATTTGATGTGATATTTTTGGAGGAGAAAATCTGAATAGTAAAAATATATTTTTAAAACCACAAAGAACATAACCTTATGGTGTGTTTGTTTGAAGAATTTTTTGTGAATTTATACTAGTTACACAAAATTTTCAACTTAAAAATATCAAATTAAATATCTATTTTTTATTTTTTATATTATAATAAAAATAAATTTTACATTTAAAATATTACATCATAAAACTATTTAAATTCAAACTCAAAATCCAAGCATCCGTACAAACACAACCTTAATTAAGGTTGTAATCTAAACTTGTGTCTAGAAAGATCGGAGCCGTTGACTGAGTGGGGCCCAATGCCGGACCATGCGCCAGAGAAAAAAATCTACGGTTTAGATACCAGCAATCCAACGGCAGGGATAATTCCGGTCCCGAGATCCATGGAGCTGCTGAACATAGCCTCAGGGATTTTTGTAGTGTACAGTGGTGCAGTTAAAGCAAAAGGGGTCTGCAGAAAGATACTGTAATTTGGAGTCTGCACATACACCACACGGATTTGGCAATCCCACGGCTTAAAGCTGCCTCGCGATCTGTCCAATTTGCTTTAATTCAGACCTTCTTTTCTCATCGTCGTCTTCGTCCTTACCGGTCGCCGGTCGGTCTGTTTTCAGGTAACTATCGACTATTGTGTTCGGACGGGATTTCTACTAATGTAATTACTTTTTTACTTTTTCCGCATAATTAATTATTAATTCGATTGAACTTAGCGGCGGTGGTTAAAGAAACGCCGGAAATGGTGCGTATGTTGGAGATATTCTGGTCAGATCGAAGGAATCTAGCCATGTTAAGGTTTTCCTGTTCGTTGATTTGATGGTTTTATAATTAATTCTATTTTGCTGTTATTGTTCCACTAATCCTTGTCTGATCTTGAGTGTTGTCTATACCTTAAATTAATCAATCGATTCGATCCTGTTCCTGTTCCTGCTGCCATGTTGATTTTCGAATTTGCTGGAATGTTGTCGTGTTATTGCATTACAGTCTACAGAGCCTGAAATTTGAATGAATGGTGGGAAAAGGAGGAGTGTTAGAAGGACAGTAGGAGTTTGTATGCTAAGATATTTTTTCAGACAATCTCAGTATATATATATTTCTATTTTTATTATAAAAATTAATATTAAATCTAAAATATTAATTTTATATTATTGGTATAAATTTTTATATTTTATATAAAAAATAAAAATCAATCAAAACACTGAAAAACAAACTCTGGTTTTCTTTTTTTTTAATTTTTTCCAAAAATTATAATTTTATTATTAATACTCCCTCGGTCTAAAATAATACTTTCACTATCCAATTAGAAAACATACGAATTTATTTTGGTACATTCAATTACAAAATAAATATTTTATTATATATCTGATTTTTTTTCTTCACAAATATCCTTATTTTACATTATATCATTACTTTTACATAAAAAAACAAAGGCAAAAATATCATTATTAAGTATCTATTATAATTAAAAGTAAATGTTTACTTTGTATGTGAATCGAGGGAGTATGTGTTACTGTAGATACTAAAATTTAGGTAAAATATAATTATTAAATAATATAAAAATATAGCATTAAAAAATAATTATTGTATAATAAAAATAATTATAAATTAACATTAATATAACTAAATAGTTTAATTATGATTAAAAAATATAAATTATAAAATTTAAAATGTAATTAAAATATATAATTATATTTTTTTTAAAAATGACAAATTATGTTAAATAAAAAAAATAAACAATATGAACATTTTATATAAAAAGGAATAAATATATAATTATTTTTTATTATATCAATACAAATACTTTTAAATAAAAATGTATGGAATATAATATTTAAAATAGTATGAAAAAAATCTAAAATATATATATTTTTATAAAAATAAAATAAACTATATATATAGATGTATTGATTCGGCAAAAGATATTTATATTTATTTTTCGTTAAAATTATATTACTCTATTTCCTTTATTGTCCATTAAGTTCGTATATAGTTTATTTATAATAAAGAATTTGTATACACCAACAATTTTATTATTTTTATTTTAAATAAATAATAATCAAATTTTTATTACTATTATAATAAATTGTTTAAATATAATACTTTCACTTTATTTTTTTTATATGCCATAATTAAACATTAAAATATTTTCAGTTTGTTTTTAAATTTTAAATAGTTTAAAAATATTTGTCTGGGTGCCTTTAAATCCGGCGGCTCAGACCGCTTTCCGTCCGTCGTTGTCACTGCCGGCATCGGACGGCGCGCAATGCTTCCCGCCTTTTCTCGCGGACGCCAACCGTCGCACTTAAATGGATTGCATCATTTTATTTCGCGTACGCATTCTTTTTTGGAAATAAATAAATAAATCTAACGTAAATATTAAAATAATAATATTCCTATAATTTTATATATATATATATTTGCCGAATTGGAGGCGGAAATTGTTACTAAAATGGTTAGCTCCTATTGCAATTTCCAGTCAACGCTTCAGTGGTTGATTGCTTTTGCTTTTAGGGTGTGTTTGTACGAGGGATTTGTTTGAATTTTACTGTTCATTCTATTTTTTTTGTGTTTGTACGAGGGATTTGTTTGAATTTTTACTGTTCATTCTATTTTTTTTCTAAAAATATCAAATTAAATATCTATTTTTTATTTTTTATATTATACTAAAAATTAATTTTACATTCAAAATATCACATCAACCCTTATTTATATCACATCATACAACTATTCAAATTCAAAATTTTTACTATTCAAATCTCAATCCAAAATCCAAACCCCCAAACAAACACACCCTTAATAAAAAAAAAAATACATATGCTTTGGTGAAATTACTTTGAAGAAATTACTTTTAAAGAGATACTCACTTTGTCGCCTTTAATTATCGTTTTGTTACATTGTATTTAGCAATAAAAATATTTTTATAAAATAGAAGTATTATAAGAAATTAATATAAATATTTTTGTAATTTTTTTTAATTTATACTATATTTTGATATAATAATTAATATTCAAATATAAAACATGCAATATAAATGAGACATTTAGATTGGACGAATGTAGTAGTTTTTATATTTGGTATAAAAAATTGTGTACATGATAACAAAATTACAATATAAATAAAATAGTACTCCCTCCGTCCGTCCCACGTTCCATATCACTTTTCTTTCTTGAAAAATGATTACACACTTTAATCTCGTTTTAAACTTTTTAATTTATTTTTTAATTTTAATTAATTTACAGTTATCTTAATCTTAATTTATAATTATTTATATTACAAGAAAATTATTTTTATTAATACATTTTAATTATCTACTAATTACACCCATTCTAAAATACCGTGTATACAGTGTAACAGACACGATATATGAGACGGAGAGAGTATTAATTTTTTTATAGA